TAGTCATGTATATTAATCTCCCTAGTGTCTAGTCATGTATATTAATCTCCCTAGTGTCTAGTCATGTATATTAATCTCCCTAGTGTCTAGTCATGTATATTAATCTCCCTAGTGTCTAGTCATGTATATTAATCTCCCTAGTGTCTAGTCATGTATATTAATCTCCCTAGTGTCTCTATTTTCAACTAAAGTATGAAGATTGAACTAATGACTAATGTCACATGCCTATTCATTTCTTCCTGTCCTTTGTACTTCATTTCTTTACTTGAATCCGAAATTTAAAAGGAGCAAAGTCGAATATGAAGAAAAAAAGCATTTGAAACTTGAAGTAATTAGTTAAATAATACATTTATTACATATTACAATCTCATTAGCACGCATAAAGTCCATTTATTCCAAATTGCAAATGTGGTACAAATACAACACTTTAAAGAGGAGAACCAATCACCTTTCTATCAATATCCTGATCAGGTAGATCATTGATTGTACATCCTGTAGCACGTAAAAGGAATGCCCCCGAACCAAACAGAGCCATCATCTTAAAGTCTGGAAGGCTCCCCGCACCTGCTGCCATGGTTATAGATCTACAACGAAATAAAAAAATATACCCCATAACTATCAAATCCTAAAGCATTCAAACAGATAATTAACCTTCCAATTATAAAAGTATCCAATACTTGATCCATGTAAGCACAATTTTAGCACAACTATAATTTCTCTTAAAGTACAAAAATCACTAAATAAACGAATGTACTAACCACATGCATGGCCAAGCAAGAAGCAAAGTGCCAATCGGCTTATCGAGGCGCACCAGGTGGGCATAAGGCCCAGCCTTTTCAGGTAAACGAACATTGATCCACGACGGATCGAGTTTACAACTCCCATTAATTTTCGGTTTTTGCTCATTTTCCTTTGATGCTAGCGAGGAAATGTGAGAATTTCCAAAAAGCGTTTGATACGCACCGAATGCTCGGATTAGATGAAAAGAATTGTAAAATTGGTGTTTTGAGCTGGAGTTTCTTCAGGAGAATTCGAAGAAATTAGAAGCATCAAGAAGAGAATGAAGAATGAAGGGAATTATTACTATGGTTTGATATTGGCGGAGGGATAATCCCGGAAAGGGCAATTGACAGGTAAGAGTGGCGGAGGCTGAGGAGACGGCGGCCGTGAGAGAGGCGATACATTGCCATAAGTAAAATACAAAACAATTAATAAATTGATGAGAAATAAGTTAAAGTTTCAGCCAAAGGGAATAAAGAAAAAAATGGGAATGATGAAAATTTGAATACTCAAGCTGCGGAGTGAAATGTTTCAAAAATCTCTCAACTCGTATATGGTCACGGACTACTTCAACATATTGAACTTTTTCTCATTTGTACTCCATTCATCACCGTCAAAAAATCCGTTACCTTAATGCGGACGGATATTAGACGCGCCAATTAACGGCCATTAAACACATGCCAAATCACTCAGCTAATTGAGGTCAGCATAAATCTCCTATTTTTATTCCCTTCAATTTTCACTTTCATCCCCAGAATTAATCAACAATGATGGCAGTGGATCAACAGTAGCAACAATACGAGAAACACCAGTACCTACCTCAAAAACTGAAATCACACCGACAATTTTAGAGTTAATAACCAAAATGATTACTGAACGTTGTAAAAAAAATTTATGGGGTCATTGAACTTTAAAAATCATCCAAGTCATCACTGAACTTTACAAAAATATTTTCACAAGATCACTTAATTTTAAAAATTATTTCATTCATCACTAAACTTTGCAAAAATTTTCCTAGGGAATCACTAATTCATTGATCTCTAGAAAATCTTTTGCAAAATTCAGTAAAGAATGTGCTGATTTGTAAAGTTCAATAAACTTGTGGAAATCTTTTGCACAGTTCAGTGATATTTAAGAGATTTTTAAAGTTTAGCTACCCCTTGAAAACTTTTTACAAAATTCAAGAACCATTTGGTTATTAACCCACATTTTTAAGGCCCGAAGTCGAGATTTTGGCGGAATTAAGAAGGTGCTTTTTGTCAAGGTTGTGTTGAAAAATGGTAACAAATATAGAGTTATCAAGCCTCGGAGTCTTGAGCCAAACGCTGATGCAAATGTGGTTAGTGCATCTTCGTCGAGTGGTAGGATTGATAATTTGGAATCCCTGATCAGGTCTGATGCTAGAAAGTTCAACAGCTTCAGGATACTAGAAGAGAAAGATTTTTGAATGCCATCCAACATGAAACTGATTTCTCGTGGTTTAATTTCAGTTAGCGGTCACAATTTTGGCCTACTTTCGACCTACAATCCAAAGTTTTTGTATGGAGAAGATAAGGAGAAGGAAAAAGATGGGGGAAAATGAATTTGGGAGTGATTTGGATGGTGTTTAGGGTTTATGGAGAATGAGAAATTGGAGGATAGGAGATGAGTCGATGAGGAGATTGGCAAAGGCAATAGAGAGGTTCGAGGAGATATATTAGAGGATGGAAAGGATGAAGCAAGGGCAAGTGTTAAATGTTTCATTGGACATTGCACTTTATACTTCGTCAGGACTTACCTAACATCAGAAATCGTCCCAATGGCCATTGAACTTATTTACATTGCACTCAGTTACTCATCGATTTAAATCCATCAATGAATTTGGCCAGTTGAAATGTCCAGAGCTCCCAAAATAACATCAAGAGAAAAATATATAATCCATAGATCAAAGAGTAATTTTGCTATTATCGTATGAATAATATTCACACTTCGTGCTAAAAAAATAGGACATTTTATGGATAATATTCACACGAAATTTGTGCGCTTCTCATATATGACCATTGTCCATCACATCAAGCCACCATATTTTACTTTATATCTCTTGTGTGGGTCCCATGATGCCTATATTTTTCATTCTCATTCTCACAAAAAGGGATACCAAACAGTTCAGATTCAGACACCACGTATAAAAAATGATTTCATCAACATTATTTTCATTTGCTCCCTCCATCAAAATAGCTACTCGTTCATCTAGTTTCTAGTGCCTTCAATGAAGGTTTGAAATGGATTTGTGGTTAGGGTTTTGGGTTTGGGCTTGATTTGGGTTGTGCTTTTTCACACTTGCAATTTGATATTTGCTTTTGAATATTTCCTTAAATTTTAGTTTACTCACATAGTCTTGTCTTCAATATTATAACATTAAGGGTGCATTTGATTGTCAATATTACTCATGAAAAATGTATTTTTTCACCCAAATTCCTACTTTTGTACTATTTGATTGACATTTTTTCTATGGAAAACATTTTCATACTTTTGGTCACGTGACCATATTTCTCAAAATCAAAGAAAATATTTTCTTTAGGAATAGTAAAATTTTATTTTCCAAAGAATTTACTCTCTCTGTCTTTCTCTCATCTATCCACTCTCTCTCCTCTACCGACTAATAAAAAATGAATAAGTAGAATATTTTCAAGGTTGAAAATTAAATAAATCAAATACATTTAATTAACAATTTCCATACAAATAAATTCTAGGCAATTAAATTGCCTAGAATTTATTTTATTTCAATGCAATTTCATACTTGCAATCAAACGTACCCTAAATGTTAAATCTACATTAGTACATGTATAGTTAAGAAAGCATGCTATTCATTTCGTGCAATAGAAAGTGAGAGCTCCATTGTGCCTTATTACCTAAGTAATACTCTTACCTCTTAACAAATATATATATTTGTGAAATGTTGAGGAGATATGTCAATATTTACATTTCTAATTTCCTAATGCTTTTAAACTTTATTGAACTTCTTCATTTTGCATTTAATGTATCAATGTGATACATTTGTTTTCTATACCTGTCTCATTTTTTATATGAAATATAAAAAATAGAGTTCCATTTATTGTTTTACTTACTATTTTAACCACATCTAATACAAGGGTGGATGCAAATCTCCAAAAGATCAATGACATTGTAACCAAGAAATGTTATTATCCATTAACTTTTTCAATAATATCTACTCTGAAAGAAAACAAAATAACTTAGATTAGAAATGTAGAAGGACTTCTGCTTGTGGTCAGTAGCCTTCTTTTATATTTTTTCCTAAACTCTAAAATCATTCCCTACATGTCTGTTTTTATATATACATATTGTTAACTTATCCTTATTCTGTTAAAATAGCGAAGCTACTTTTGGTTCAAGGTAAAACCACTTATTACACATCACAATCAATCTTTTTGGTATATGTCATGCAATAATTTCAATAAATTTACATTTACTGATTTCGATGAAATCCATTGCTGTTCATTCTGTAGATACTCTCAAGCTCGTGTTGTTCCAAGGTAATAATTATATATACACCAAATATATTTTCATACAGCCTATGTTTTTCCAACTCTTATGTCACCTACCTATGTCAAGTTTCCATAGAGTAAGAGTTTCCATTCGATTGCAAGATTCATCAACATCTATTGATGCTATGATTATAGAAGAACCCACTAAAAAGTTCTTACAATGCTCCTCACTCACATTGACGAAAAAAGTACTTTCATTATCCACATCAAACATTTATTTACATATCCATTTATATTGCTACATCTAACGTTCTTATTTAACCGGACAAACCAAATTCTCTAAAATCAATCAACACCTCAGCAGATGATGATCTGTTTTTCTACATAAAAGCTGGAAAAAGAATAAAGAAGATGAATACTAGTACGATGTCATCATCGTAGATACGCCTTCAACAACAGCAAAAAATCCACATGTAAGCAGTGATGGGAGCACATCTCTAACTCCATTTGTTGAATCAATACGCTTGATAGAACATGATTCGAATGAATAATAAGCTAAAATGTTCTATTCTCAACTTCCAACCCTCCACATTTCGAGAACGCAAAAGGCAAAGGCCAATCATCGAATGAATCCATTGACAACAATCTTCAGTGATGCATTGGATTGGTTTTTGTCCTTTTTGTCTTCTTACAAAATGTAGCAAGAAATACAATGTGTTTTGTATATGAAGTTTAATATCTAACTTGTATTTCAAACTACTAGTTCAATAGTTATGCAACCAAACATTACTTGTAGTTTGGCTATGTAGCTATCCTACATAGACACTTTAGTCTTTTGGTTAATTATATAAAATAATGTTTTTACTTATTGTAAATCTCATCCTTGATCTATCACACATAAGATATCAAAAGTGATGATGACACCTATAACTAGCACATAATTTTAAAACTCATCTCATCCATAGATTTAATATTTTAATAACAATAATCGTAATACTTGTCCAAGTTAAGAAAATGTCGCGATTTGTTATGGAGTGATACAATTATAGTCCAATGATAGTCTAGTTTTTTATTTCCATTAAACAATAAAAAAATTCTTCTTATACAAATCTAAAATCTATTCTTTTCTTCTCAAATACTTACATTTCTTTGCGCATTTTATTTGATTTCAATTTATATAGTACTCTCCACCAAGTCCATTCAACAACGATCATACGCTTATATATAAATATATCCATAAAAATTATGAAACTTGTTGAATTGCACAAACTATTCAAAAAACACAATATATATTACTAATAATAAAATTTATTAAACCTAACGTGAATTTCAACCTATTTTCATAAATATAAATAGAAACAACGAAAAAATGAAAATTTCAAGGCGCACAAAGAGCTTACTTAGGGGAAGAGAAATCTCTGCACGATGCGAAGAAGGCACCATCTTCACGAACGCATGCGAAGACTACTCTCCGAGTTGTGCGGAGAAGAATCTCTCCTTGCCTCCGGACACATCTCGTAACTACAATAATTTTCTCTTCTTCTTTTTTCATTTTTTATTTTTTAATGAAGGGTGAAGTCAATCTCTTTTCAGTACTAATTTGTCATGTTTCTCCATTTTGTCACTCAACCAGCGACTCTTCATTTCCCCACGCAACTGCAAACTCTTGTCAAATCTGCAAAATAAAAGGTAAGTAGATAAAGATTTATTCTTTTTTTTTTGTGTTCGTTTTCATTTTTTAGCTTTGACTTGAAAAAGTGACTGTTTAAAAATTTGCAGAATTGGTTACTTGCGGATGCTTCACTCAAACCACGTCATCATCTTCTTCATCGGCTTTCTCTCTTCCTTGGACTAATTTATTTATTTCTTAACTTTTTTACTCATTTTCCTAGTAATGATTTTCCTTGCGTTTCATACAGCATTATACAAGAGCAAACTAAATTTTTTGTAGTTTTGAGTTACACCTTATTTAGATTGACATTTAATTCAAAAGCTATGCTATGAGATTTCTTGTTTGTCATTTTTTTTTTTCAAATCTGCTCATTTTTTTTATATCCTTTGTTGTTCACGTATAGTTTCCCTTTCTCTTTTTAACTACTTTTTTAATCTTCCTCTCCATGTTTCATTTCTTAACACATGTACTTTGTACGTGGTCGTTCAAATGGTACATTAGAAGGGTGGACTTTCATATTTTTTTTCCCTTTTTCTATACTTAAGGTAGGTTTTCTTTTTCAGTTTTACTTTTTGACTGCAAAATTGTTCGAACTTGCTTCTTATGTACTTAAGTCCTTGTCGTTTCTCCAAGGAACCATCAAATAT